CGCCGAAAGCACATAGGGTATGATTTTTTTCTGAATGCCGATAGCGCGAAAGTGTTAAGTTTTCTGAAATACATGATGAAGACAAAAAAGCAAGTATACCAAAACAGAGATGCAGAACAAGAAAACAGGATTGGTTTAACATAAATTGTGAGAGGGCCAGAGATCAAAAGACTCAAAAATGGAATCAACATAGGAAGAGGCCAAACCTTCAAAAATACAGTACGGTACAGTGGAATCTCGCCTGACGACCGTCCATCTTTAGAAATTTTTCGGGTTACGATCCCAATTTCTTCATAAATTTCGACTAGGTTGGCGACCTTCACCTCGCTTGGCGACAAGTTTGTTGATGCACTTATGGGTTGACCGAGCGCGTGGTTCCTGGCACAGGCGAGGCACGCTTCAGTTTACCAGTGCCTCCTGCCTAGTGGCGATCGTGCTTTAATTCTTTGAAAAGAATTTCAATGTTTTCCTGTTTTTTTGGTTTTTGAATATAAAAGTAATTATTTTAAATCACACCATGTGTCCCAAGAAAGTCAGTGGTAAGGTTCAACCTAAGAAAACATGTGAGGAAACTGGGTATCAGAAAATTTCTTCAGGGGAGGAAGACACAGTACAAAATGTTCCTTCCTCAACAATTAAGAAGTGGTGTACACTATGGAAAGAACTGCAAAGTTTTGTTGAAACAACTCACCCACATCAAGCTGCAGTAGGCCATTGCCTTAACATTTTTAAAGAAATTGATGCCTCACTACAGACAAATATTAAGACGTAGAGAAAAACGTGTCTCTATGGAAAGGTTCTTAGCGAGACAAACAAGCAATGAGCCACAACCAGGTCCTAGTGATATGCAGGCAAAATGTAGGAAAGAGAGTACCCCAGAGAAGTCATCACTGCCTGATGTTATAATGGAAGGGGTCTCCCCTTCCAAACACTTACACCTCTCCTGCCCCCCCCCCCCTCTCCTCACCATCTTCCATACTCAAAGAAGAGTCATCAATAAAGGTAAGATATAACTTGTATATACTGTAGTACAAAATATTTGTAGTATTATGTATGAAATGTATTTTGAAGTTAATATTTTAGGGAGTGTGGAACGGATTAATTCAATTTACATTATATCTTACGGGAAAATTTGTTTCGTTTTCGAATTTTCGGTTTACGACCCCTCTCTAGAAATGGATTAAATTTGAAAATGAAGGTACCACTGTACTAGTAATACAAAGAAGTAAGAAACAACTACACAGTAGTGAGGAGAGAGGCAAAAGGAAATTTTGAGAAAGGGATAGTGGACAAATGTCAAACAGAATCAGGCCAATTCTATAAATTCATTAAAAGCAATTTGCAGGTAATGGATAAAATTCAGAGTTTAAAAATGGGGAACAGATTTACAGAGAATGAAAAGGAAATGTGTGAAACATTTAACAAACAGTTCCAAAATGTGTTTGTGCAAAATTAAATTCTCAGAGAACCAGACAATAAGAATTTCAGAGAACAATATAGAGCACATGGCAGTGTCTAGAGACAAAGTGAGAAAAAATACTCAAGGAGCTAAGTAGGAAAAAACAATTGGCCCAATTTCACTTTAGGTTCTGAGAGAATTGGGCACCCAAGCTCAGCATTCAATTTCAATTGATTTTTCAGTCATCTCTAACTAGGTACACGAGTCTTGGCAGATATATGGAAAAAGACTAACATAGTCGGGGAGCCGGTCGGCCGAGCGGACAGCATGCTGGACTTGCGATCCTGTGGTCCCGGGTTCGATCCCGGGCGCCGGCGAGAAACAGTGGGCAGAGTTTCTTTCACCCTATGCCCCTGTTACCTAGCAGTAAAATAGGTACCTGGGTGTTAGTCAGCTGTCACGGGCTGCTTCCTGGGGGTGGAGGCCTGGTCGAGGACCGGGCCGCGGGAACACTAAAAGCCCCGAAATCATCTCAAGATAACCTCAAGATAAGATAGTCTGTAGTTTCACTCTACAAAAGTGGCAGCAGGGTAGACCCTCTTAATTATAGACCTGTACACTGACATATGTAGCAAGTCAAAATATTGGAAAAAATAATTAAAACCAAATGGGTACAGCACCTGGAGAGAAATAATATACCTGTACTGTAATAACACAGACAGTACGGTTTTGGAACAGGAAGATCCTGTGTAATAATTCTCCTTCGTTTTTATGATAGAGCCAAAGAGATTCTACAGGACTCTCTTTGGAGATTCTCTTCTACGGGAATCAGGATGGTTGATTGTGTTTTTCTGAACCTAAGAGTCCTACACGACCTTGTTGTGGAATCTGGTACATGCTGGAGGGGTGACAAGGAGGCTTCTAACTTTGATGAAAATTTTGCCGACAGAAAAAAATGAGGGCAGTAATCAGAAGCAATATACAGTATTAGAATGGAGAAATGTCACGAGTGGAGTACCACAGGGTTCAGTTCTTGCACCGGTAATGTTCACAGTCTACATAAACAATCTACCAGAAAGAATACAGAATTATATGAGCACGTTTGCTGATGCAGCCAAGATAATAAGGAAGATAAACTTCTTTTCTATATATAGATAATTGTCATGCCTTTCAAGAAGACCTGAACAAAATAAGCATTTGGAGCAAAACGTGACAAATGGAATTTAATGTGAATATATGCTACATTGTTGAATGTGGAATAGAGAAAATAGGCCGCACACAACCTATAAATTATATAAATAACTTTAAACAATTTTGATGAAGAAAGAGATCTAGGGGTAAGAGATTTTTTAGTTAGAAAATTATTAACTGAGTACCATATAAAAAACATTGTGCGAGGGAGCCTATGCCCCTTTCCAATTTCTGTTTAAATACATGGGTGGTGAAATACTGTACTAAAGAAATTGTTTACAACCTTTGTGAGACCAAAGTTGGAATATGCAGCAGATGTATGGTGCCCCATATCTTAAGAAGCACATCAACTGGAAAAGGTACAAAAAACAAACAACTAAATGGATTCTGGAACTGAAAGACAAGTGATATGAGGAGAGGTTACAGGTGGTATTAAATATGCCAAGGCTATGAGAAAGAAGAAAAAGAAGCAATATGATCACTACATACAAAATAATAAAATGGGAATCAACAAAATTTATGAAGAAGACTTTTTGAGACCTGGAACCTCAAACACAAGAGGTCCTAGATATAAGCCAACAAATCAAAGCTGCCAAAAAAATAATTAATAATTCACTTTTGCAAAGAGTGGTAGACAGTTGGAACCAGTGAGAAGGCTGTGGAAGCCAAAACCATCAGTACTTTCAGTGTTATACGAAAAAGAGTACTGGGAAGACAGGACATCATGAGCATAGCTCTCATTCTGTAACTACACGTAGGCAATTACTACAGTATTTTAACTGGTTTAAGAAGTTTTTTAGCTTTTCTGGAAATATAATACATTACAGTGTACCATAATATTAAAGCTATTAATTAAGTTTAAGTTTCAGTAAGATCACTATTACAATTGGGCATATGTTGCTAAAAGTAATACAAAGTGCTGTGTGTAAGATAAATTGTACATGGTCTCTATTTCAATGCCAAACACAATATTTTAAGGATAATACTGTATCTATAATGCTCCCTTATTAATGAGAAAATAACTGCGCCCTCAAAACTGCCAACAATGCCAAGAGAAAGCCAAACTATCAAGTACGCAAAAGTACCCGAGGTGCTATCAAAACATCTTTGAAGCACTATGTCCCTACCACCTTATAGCATTAAACCATCCTAGGCATTATCAAAACATTCCTAAAACTATGATATTCCACTTTGTAACTTAAAAAGAAAATAAACTGCTGCCATGGAATAATAGCACCTCGAAACATTCATGTACCAGCACATTCAGACTTGTTGCTCGAAACCTAACAAGAACGGAGAGGTGTTTAGCGAAGAACTACGATAGAATAGTACTGTACTAACAAAATGACCCTTCTGTGTGGCAACCAAGTATTATTAAATAGGTTTTTTTATTCTATATTAACAAATCTTTGTACTTCCATCGTGTGATGTAATATGCTTGAACAATTTCAGCCCATCCTCATAAACAAAGGCTGAAGTCCATTCCATGCACCTGCCAAACCCCCCCCCCCCCCCCCGTTTATGAATGAAAAACAGTTTTTACACGATTCGCAACTGATGACAGCCAAACACTTTTGGAGCAAGTGCTTCGTTGACGACTTTTGTTCGAACCACAACTCTGTAAATGCTTCACCCACGTACTACAAATACAAATAACCGCCAATAGAACTTAAACATCTAACCTAATCGGTGTCTAAATATATACAATATGCTAATATATAACAATATTAATTTATATTTGAAAAAATTTATATTTTGAATGAACAGCATGTTAAAATTGATGAATGCGTCTTTGGGGTCGACCGCTGGATGGAATGGACTTGGTCTGAGAACGGGTTGAATAATTTAGTGAGTAGTCAAAATATAGCAATATGCACAAAATTGTGCTCTTGATTTTAAAAACTATATATATATATATATATATATATATATATATATATATATATATATATTATATATATATATATATATATATATATATATATATATATATATATATATATATATATATATATATATATATATATATATATATATATATATATATATATATATATATATATATATATATATATATATATATATATATATATATATATATATATATATATATAATATATATATACTGTATATATATAAATATATATATATATATATATATATATATATATATATATATATATATATATATATATATATATATATATAATTATTGTATAAAAAAAATTAGATGGAACACAAAATGGTGGTTATTAGTGGCAAACTTAAAGCAGGTGTCAACATAACCAAAAACCAGATTCTATATGTAAGTCATACTGATGTGATTATCAATAATTTGTACAAAGGCAGTGACTAGTCATTAAATTTGAGAATGTCTACCAATCTGGGAAATTTATTTCTCTTCTCCAACCTGAATAACTTTCCACCGAGGTTTCCGAAAGATTGCTACCTTCTTCCTCCACTCGAAAATCATTTAAAACTGGACGAGGAAATCCTGAAACGTGTGACTACTTTTAGTCATATGTTAATCCATACATTAAGACAATACATGAACTACGCTTACCAGCATTTCTTTTGACAGCATGCAAAATTAATTATAGCATAGGCATGAGAGGGAAACTTCTGTATTCAATCATTCAGGTTTAATCTCTTACCCCTTCCAACTGCACACAAACTGACATTATATGACAAGTGATTTTGTTGTAATGATTCTATGCAATTTGAAACATAATTAAAGTTTCCTCCTACTTCTTTTAGCAGGAGGGCCATGATTGGTAGATGTTTTTGCTGCACGTTTTGCACTAAATGCAAACTTAACCGTTATCTTACCAGAATCTTTTGTTGAAGATTTAGTAATAGACTTTTTAGTGGCCTTAGGTTTAGCTATTGACTTTCTTCTTTGACCCTTACCCTCAGTTTTGCCTGCTACTTTCCTCTTCTTTCCAGTCTCACTTTTAGGAATCTTTGGTGTTTTAGGAGTTTTTGCAGTCTTCGGTACCTTAGGCGACTTGGGAGTCTTGGGCGACGCAGTCTTAGGAGTCTTTGGTGTGCCTCGGCCAGCTCTGGCAACACGGGTATCACCTGTTGCCGTTTTCTGAGAAAACACTATCATGGACAAATCCACTTCAATATTATTTTTTTCACAGTGTGCACATGTCTCTTTTTTCGACCGTAGCTTCTTGCCAAGGGGGCTGTAGGGAGGGGAAAAAAGAAGTCGAATAATATTAGTCAGGACTCGGTAAATCTAAAACCCAATCTAAAGTATATTTGATACCTAATTTCCCACTAATAGGGTATCAAGTACAGAATTTCATCTATGCATATTATTCTATGCTTATTCTAACCAATCCATGCACAGCTTTACATTGAAGCAGCTATATATACCACTACATATTTTGCCACCTGACAGTACTGTAATTTTTGTTCTTCATCTCTTGCACTCCATTTACTCCAATATGTACTGTTAACCAACTGTCACGTTATCCCCCTGCCCTCTCACTCAGAGTGAGAGGGCAGGCGGCAGAGTGGGAGGGCAGGTGGCAGAGTGGGAGGGCAGGTGGCAGAGTGGGAGGGCAGGCGGCAGAGTGGGAGGGCAGGTGGCAGAGTGGGAGGGCAGGCGGCAGTGGGAGGGCGGGCGGCAGAGCAGGTGGTTGGCACAACAGGTGGGTAGCAAAGTGGGTGGGTGAGTGAGTAGCAGGGAGGTGGCAGAGTGGGTGGGTGAGTAGTAGGGCAGGCAGGAAGGCAGCAGATCGGGTGGGCAAGATGGCAAGTGGAACTTTAGGACTACAAATTGCAAGCACTGTCCACTTAGCTGTCAGGCCCTTTAGTATGGTACCTAGTAGTATGCCACTGAATCAGTATAATAGTATCAGGGAGCCTCAAAGGACTTTCCCCAGAAAGGAAGCATGGCAGAAGCAGTTTTTTTTTTTTTTATACAGGGACAAACTAGAAACCACCAAGGGAATGTGACATCTCACTACCATAACTGGCTGACCCCTCACAGTGTTCAAGAGAGAACTGGATAAACACCTCCAAAGGATACCTGATCAACCAGGCTGTGATTCATACGTCAGGCTGCGAGCAGCCGTGTCCAACAGCCTGGTTAACCAGTCTAGCAACGAGGACGCCTGGTTGACGACCGGACCGCAGGGACGCTAAGCCCCGGAAACACTTCAAGGTAACTTCAAGGTAACTTCAAGGTAACCTCTCCAAAAAATTGTGAATGACAATACAGTACAAAGAAATGAAATAGGCAATTCAATAGGAGCTTAGAACATGAGGGAATAGGTGACCACGACCGACAAAGACCTTGAGAGACCAGAAGAAAAGCCCAAGCATTCAGGTTTAAAGAACCCCAACCAAAGGCACCCAGATATCGCCCAACTAAGCTGTCACTTGAGCTCATCTCAAAACAAGATGCAGAAACAACCCTTGACCATGACCAGCAGCATAGGCAAATCATTTTCACTTAAACATTTGTTTGTTCCACTCAACAATTTGCACTTTTCAGAACCCACTAATTATTATTCCACAGGTATAAAACATTATCACTGCTAATACTGTATACTTAAAATAAAATTCCATGTTGTGTTTATGTGACCACAGGGAGTTAGAGGTATGGGATTAGTGACTACATATTTTTTGGGGGTTACCTACAGTTACAGCATGTCATATAGAACAAATACAGGTTCAGTATTTCAAAATATTTACCTGAAATAGTAGACATCAAGCTTGCCGGCAGAAGCTCCAGTTATCCGCTGAACTACAACTCTTGACCAGCCCTCCGGTACAGGCACATCACCTTCACTCGCATCGCCTGTCACACCAAAGGTACATCAATCAAAACCAATTATAAAAGAACAGTCTTCAAAATATTTAGATTTATTTTACAAGGACTTAACTCTCTATTTTAGGTAAGCCATGTTTCATGTGCATATGGGAGGGTTCCAAAAAGTATTCCAATATATGTGGAAACACAATTCATCACATAAATAGAGGGGTGATGAATAGAGGGGTGCAATTATAGCAGGGTACTGTATTGAGATGAGAAGTACACTCGTGGTGTCCCGTCTTCCCACCACTGTCATACAGTAGGATGCTTTGAAACTACTGATGGTTTTGGCCTCCACCACTTTCTCAATTACCGGTAACTTGTTCCAACCATCTAGCACTTTGTAAAATAAAACTTTTCCATATTCTTTGGCACCTTTGTTTCCTTAACTTGAAACTAAGACCTCTTATTCTTGAGGGAGCCAGTTTCAGGAATTCCTGTCAATTTGGTCAATTCCTATTATTATTTTTTATGTGGCGATTATATCGCCTCTTTTCCTTCTATCTACCAGCTTTGGCATATTTAATGCCTCTAGCCTCTCTTCATAACTCTTGTTGTTCAGGCCTGAAAGCCATTTTGTAGCATGCCTTTGCACCTTTTCCAGATTACTGATGTGCTTCTTGAGATATGGGCACCATACAACTGCTGCTTATTCCAATTTTGGTCTCGCAAAATTCATGAACAGATTCTTTAGTATTTCACCATTCATGTAATTAAAAGTGATCATGAAGTTGGAAAATGCAGCATATGTTCTTCACACAATGACTCTAATGTGTTCCTCTGGTGACAGTTTACTTTCCAGAACCACCCCTAGATCTCTTTGTTAGAGTTCTTTAATCTCTTTCCACATAAATTACAAGTTGTGTGGGGTATATTTTTATCTATTCCCCATTCCATAACATGCAATTTATTCACATTGAATTCCATTTGCCACATGGTTCTGCAACCACTTCTTTTATCTAGGTTAATTTGGAGGGCATAACAATCATCTCTCCAATCAGTCTCCTATCTTCCCCAATATCTTGCCAAACGAGCACCAGAGGAGCAAAGTTCAGGCTCCCGCACAACTACTCAAGCAACCGCCGAGACCCCCCTCAGAAACAGCTGAAAACAAGGACTGCAGCCGGATCAGAGCTGCAGGAGGGAGTGAAATGGACGCAGTTCGATAATTTCATACGGGGCCCAGCCAAGGCCAAACCTGGGATGGAACTAACTGGGACTTCCGCCAATTTACCAGGAACTCGGCCTACTGGGAAAGAACCAATTCCCTGGCTAGCAGACAAGTAGACTGGTTGGGAACTCACACCAACCAGTCGTCGAGGTAGGCCAACACCCGAAGCCCTAGCAGATGCAGATGGGCCACTACGACCAAAGTAAGATGCGTAAATACGCGAGGTGCCAGATTTAAGCCGAAAGGTAGACAACAAAAGCGGTAGGCCTGTCACCCCACCTGGAGCCCCAAACAATCTTTGAACTACAGATGAACACGGACATGCCAATAAGTGTCCCAGAGGTCCAGAGATATATCATCTAAGCCAACCCCCCCCCCATCCCCCGGTCGAGAACGAGCCGGACCTGGGACAACATGATCATCTGAAATGAAGGGCAAAGAATCAACCGGTTCAGATAAGACGAGACTAGAATGTACCAGAGATACACTTAGTCCCATTTCGGAACTGGAAACAAGTGAGAAACTCACTTGAGAGACGAAGTCATTTCAACCACGCCCAAACGAAGCCACTTCCAAATGACCTGAACGAGGGGTGGGGAAGACGGCTGCCCCCACAGTCCCGACCCCCCCCAAAAGGGGGACAGTCTACCAAACGCCAGAAAAAAAGAAGACCAAGTATGAGCAAAAAGAATCAGCCTTCTCCCCAATGGGGCAACCTGCAAAAAGGCCGATGTGAACCCTGAGAAGCCAAAAGCAGCACCGAGCGAACACGGTGCTGACCAGAGGAAGGTTCCTGGGCATCCGCCGATGCAACTACTGGCACCAACGGACTACCTCAACCAACAGAGATAGAAACCTTGGCAGGACCAAATTGGGACGACCGAGAACGTTGCCCCCGTAACACCAACAAATATGAAATATGACAGCAGCTAGTGGAAGCCGCCAACAAAAACTGAGCCACCAAGTCCTCAAGAAACAAAAAGAGGATAAAATGGCGATGAAGACTGCAGAGCCAGGGTCCACGCCAAATCCAAGGAAAGAGCTAGCACAGCCTGCTGACACGAGGCAAAAGGAGCCCCCCCACATCCTCTGAAAGCCAGTCCTAAGACAGCTCCAGAAAACCGAACAAGCTCAAGACCAAGGCAAAAGACCGCGAGCTCGATGATCATCAGCCACCAAAGCAGCCAAAACAGTGATAACCTTAGCATGTAATTGCACCAGACCGACATCACGAGAAAGCGCAGGGGCAAACAAGCACCCATTGAGGAATTTCACTGAACCCCACAAGAACTCCTGCAACATTGAAGACATCTCTTGCCTCTAAAGTGTGCGAGTTCGACAAAACCCACGCCAAGCTCCCAAAGAGAAGAAAGGGCAATCTGCCAGCCAGGAAGAATCCAGAACCTCATACTGCACCCAATACAGGGAAGAAGAACTGAACTCAAAGATGGAGCCTTTATAGAGGCATAATCCGGGTCTCTCAGGAGGGCCTCACCATGGGCCTCCCTAACCTCCGCTGGGAAAATCCGAGAGGAAAGAAACCTCCGAAAGGATGTATCTGAGGAGCCCAAAGGACCTATCCAAGGCCCTGCGACAATAAACCCTGCCCTGAAGGCACAAGGGCCCAAGCAGGATCAAACAGAATCCAAGCACTCCAAGTGGACTCCCCCACAGCCCCCCCCCCCCCCCCGGGCAGAGTAATCCACGCCCACCACTCAAGAAGGCAAGGCAAGAGTCCCGGGAAAAAGCTTCAAAGAAAGGAGCGTGCTGAGATGATTCCGAAGCCTCGGTGGGGAAACGGGTTCAAGCTCCGTCCCTGAATCGGAAGGGGCAATCCTCGAAGCTACCCGAGCCTCATCCCAAGTTAAATCCTGCCCCGGCTCCAAAACCCTCAAACACTTGGGAGCGGGAAGCAAGGGAGTAGGGCAAACCTCACCCACCTGGGAATGAAACAAGGGTGCGGACGGAACCAACGTTGAAGTAGCCAACGCCCCTAAATCCTGGTCCCTAAAACCTAAGCAGGGCAGTTCTGGGGCTTCCAACTGGGCAACCATCCTGGCTCGTTGCTACAAAGAATACCTAGCTTGCAACGAAACCACTGCCTGACCCCTAACATCCACAGACAAGGAATGGGTAACTGAATGACAAGTGGAGAACAAATCCCGCAAGACTCAGGATTGTAGATGTCACCGACCCAACAGGCAGCATGACGGAGATAGGATGAGTGATTGTCACCACGAGGCAGGGGGTAACGAACAACCTTCAGCACTGCACAAGGTGAGACAGCGCTCTGAAGACACATCCATAGTATCCCCGAGCCCAACCGGGTTTTCCAGGGCTCATAGGGTACGTTAGCCCTACGGGAAGCCCAGGCACTGGGGATAGCTAAGCCAGTAAGCCCTCTCTGTTGCAGGCAAACTGACTATTACAAGTTGCAATAACAATTACAAGTGAAACAGAGGAGGACCACAAAAACCACCTAGGCAGGCCTAATGGGAAGCTAGGTAGACTTTCTCTGCCAAAGTCACGCGAACACACTAAAACAAAAACAAAACAAAAGCCTCCAAAGCAACACCCACAAACAATCTGATCGCCAGAGTATTGTCAGCCGCTGCATGTATGCAAGCTGCGCCGGCCACAGTGTGCCCCACCCAGCAAAAACCCACTCCCTACTTGGGGTAAGACGGGAATCCCAAGACCCCCCCAACATACCAATAGTGAGAACAACAGCAAGCGACAAAGCCATCAAATGGTAGTAAGACCTGAATGTCCCAGGGAAGATAACCCTGAAATGCAAGGGAAGTACTTACCGGGCACCTGTGGAAGCAGGATTTTTGTCACAGGTCAAGGTAAACTCCATTACATCCACATAGACTTCTTATATCCATATTTGCATTATACATGTAAAACCCAAACAATAATTTTGTAAATCTTCATATGATAACTGTATTACCCGATGCATCAACAATTGATGATAACGGCTGTCTAAGGATCAATAGTTCTTGCAAATTGCCGGGTTTACCTGTGGACGGTTTTGATCATTTTCCCAGCCCTAAAGATCTGCCTGTGGCATACACTACTTGTGGCACACAGCCTGTGGCACACAGCCTGTGGCACACAGCCTGTGGCACACACCACTTGTGGCACACAGCCTGCGGCACACACTACTTGTGTGGCACACAGCTTGTGGCACACACTTGTGTTCAAATTTATAAATAATGCACCACAACAATTTTAAGAAACCAAACCCTATTGTATGGCCTAAGTCCAAAGCCACTGTAGACTGGTGTTTACTCTTAAATGCCATTGGCCATTGCACTAAAGTTTACAAACTGAGCTACTATCATCGCATCCTTAGAAACATTTTAAATAATGTAAAAAATAGCTGTATATTTGACAAATTATTACATTTGTCTTAAACTTTACCAAATTTACCATGAAAACAACTAATTTTTTATTTGTATTACAGTAATTTTTTTGTTTGCTTACCACAGAATACTGCCCCAAGGATATAAGTGTTCCCACATAATAGTTTCAAATTTTTAAATTAGTGAACCTATCCCTAATGAAATTTTAGAACCTCATACTACTGTATTTGTTGCCAACTCCTTCAAATTAAAAACTTTGCAGTAAAACAAGGGATAACTCACCAGTGGACTGTCTCTTGGAACCTTTGTTAGGTGTGACTGTATTCTTCTCCTTTGGACCTTTTTTCTTGCCAACTGTTGCTGCTGCTTCAACTTTGAGAGACATGTCTTCAACTACATCACTTACATCATTTTCTGTTTCTTCCTTACCGGTCTTTATTTTTGTGTTTCCTTTCTTGTTTTCATTCCTTTCCACATTTTCCTTGCAGTTTTCATTCGTTTCCACATTTTCTTTGCCATTTTCACTAGTCTCTACATTTTCCTTACAGTTTTCATTAATTTCCACATTTGCCTTCTCGTTTTCATTAAGTTCTTTATTTTCCTTGGCATCATCTTTGTTTTTTATATTTTCTGATGCAGCGTCATTTGCCTCTTCATTCTTTTCCATTTCATTATTATTTTCTGCTGCAGTTTCTTCCTTTGAAATTTCCTCTAGCTTTTCTGGATTATTATTATCACTTCCGGGGCTTTGAGTGGCTTTTGCTCCGTCAGTATTGTTACAAACCTCTTCATTTTCTTTTTCTAAATCTGGCATTTTATCTTCTGCTGAACCTGCTTCGCACTCCTGAAAAATATAAACATAGTCACAACACAATTTCTTGCACATTAGGAACAAACCAAATCTATAAATATAGAGCAGTACTGCAATCAAGTTCCACAATGACAACTTACAAAAAAAAAAAAAAAAACACAAGGGAGGACATGATAAGTGAATGGACGAGGAATCAGGGATTGTGTGGGGAAAAGAGCATGGAAGGAGCAGGAGGTGGAAAGCAGTTTGTAAAGAAGATCGTTTGATTGTACAGTACCAGTATTACAATTCACAAGCATCATTGTATATAAGGTTTTAGCTAGTACAGTGTGGGAAGCATATGAAGCTAGAACAGAAGACTTTTGGACCTGTAGATTCGTAAACCTTATCCTGGAAACATTCCTATATCAACACGTTAAACAATCTACGAGGATGAGGAAAGGGGATGTTCACTCCATGCTAGATTTTATATTTATCAGGAAAGGGGAAGAGATGTTTGACATTCAGTACTTTTCTCTCTTTGGTAAAAGTGACCGTTTCTTTTTTGGGAATAAAGTATGCAATGCGTTGTAATCTGAAGGAAATGAGGAGGAGGAAACAGCTGAATAACCTGATTTCAGCAGAGGACATTTTAGGGAACTTAGAAATTTGCCTGGAAAGACTTGCTGTTAGGCAAGGAAGAAAATGAGATGTATGTCAAGTTTTGTGAAATATATGATAATAGGCACAACAAAATTTATACCAAAGCAGATATGTAGAACTAGGAAACAGGATTGGCTCAACTGAAATTGTGAGAGGGCATGAGACCAAAAAGACACAAAAATGAAATCAATATATAGAGGCAAAACCCCTATACATACCAGAAACACGAAGATGTGAGAAACAACTTCACGGCCGTGAGGAGAGAGAGAAAGAAATCTTGAGAATGGCATAGTGGACAAATGTAAAACAGAACCAGACCTATTCTGGAGATTCATCAACAAGAAATTGCAGGTAAAGGATAATATTCAGAGGTTGAAAATGGGAAACAGATTCATGGTAAATGAAAAGGAAATGTGTGAAACATTAAATGAAAAGTTCCAAAGTGTTTTTGTACAAAATGAAATCTTCAGAGAACCAGACACAATAAGAATTCCAGAGAACAACATAGAGCACATAGAGGTGTCTAAAGACGAAGTGAAAGAAATCCTCAAGCTAAGTAAGAACAAAGCAGTTGGTCTAGATGAAGTTTCACCATGGGTTCTGAGAGAATGTGCACCTGAGCTCAGCATCCCACTTCAACTGATTTTTTAGGAATCCCTGTGAACAGGAGTCCTAGCAGATATGTGGAAAAAGGCTAACACAGATCCAATCTACAAAAGTGGCTTCAATTATAGATCTGTATCACTGACAAGTGTAATAGTCAAAACATTGGATGGAGAAAATAATTAAAACTAAAAGGGTAGAACACCTGGAGAGAAACATAATATCAGACACAGTATGGTTTTCGATTTGGAAGATCCTGCGAAACAAATTTACTCAGTTTCTATGGTCGAGCCACAGAGTTTTACGGGAAAGAGATGGTCGAGTTGTTTTTCAACCAAATGAAATGAGATGGTTGTCGTTCAGAGCTATTGTATATGTATTTATTAAGGCCTCTCGGCCGTCTATCACTCCATCGAAGGAGGACGTAATGTATGTGGGGTTTGATTTTGACCTGGACAAAACAAGTGTATGGAGCCCCACTTGGCAAATAGAATATAATCTGAATAAATACCATGTTATGGAATATGGAATAGAAGAACACAGACCCAATACAACCTATAAATTACGTGAGTAATCTTTAAAAAATTTAAAGATTTTAAAGATTTAAATTGAAATTTAAAAATTTAAAGCTTTTAAATACTGGTTATCTTGAGGTTATCTTGAGATGATTTCGGGGCTTTTTAGTGTCCCCGCGGCCCGGTCCTCAACCAGGTCTCCACCCCCCAGGAAGCAGCCCATGACAGCTGACTAACACCCAGGTACCTATTTTACTGATAGGTAACAGGGGCATAGGGTGAAAGAAACTCTGCCCATTGTTTCTCGCCGGCACCCGGGATCGAACCCGGAACCACAGGACCACGAGTCCAGCGTGCTGTCCGCTCGGCCGACCGGCTCCCTGCATTACAACTGTATTTGTCGTAAAACACATTTTTTATTTTTAAATGTATAAAAAAATTGCCCTGCGTCTAATGCGGTCACATTACAGATGTGAGACCGAGCGCTGTAGGCTCGGGAAACGGACGAGCATACTGGGTCAGTTCGCTAGGCACAAAAATCGTTGCTAAATAATAAAATATTGAAAACAAGCCAAATTATTAACCCTTAAGCTGCTAAGGGGTCCTGAGGAGATTTACACCCGTGCGCAAAAAAAAAAATTATACAAAATTATTTCGTCTTCTAGAAAAGTTAATTTATGTTCGCTGAGCATAGGGGAAAAAAATCGTAGGCGACATATTTTGGGCGCAAAAGGCCGAGGAAGTCTGGCAAAATATGGGCGTTGACAGAGCAGTCGTCAGAGGCGGTCAGCGTCACCCGAGCTGACAGGAGGGAGTTGCCACAAAGATATTATTACCTAATTATTTCAATATCTCTGATTTTTTCTTTGTTTTTTTGCTGTAATATTACACAATAGTGTATACAGTAGTGTGATATATTTATATAATAAAAGAGGTGAATCATCACTATACTCAAAAGTATAGTGTGCATATTAGTGATTCAATTATTATGTTCATAAAATAAACAAATAGTTTTGCTGTTATTACACTATATACACAGGTTATATATAAGTATCTGCATGTTTTGAGCACCATAACGAACCACCAAGTTAGTATTGTGAGTTAAAGAGCAATGAAGAGTGGCCGCCACACACCAGTCAGCCACTTGCTGCCACTCCTCCCTCAACAACACTTCACTAGCCCATATTTTCCTCCTCCCGTACTGTTTTTGCTGTTATTCACTATATACAGATGTTATATAGAGAACCACTGAGCTGGTATGGTGAATGCAGGCAATAACAGGTGACCACACAGTCTCCCTCCCTCCCTCAGCATTACTCCTCCCACACAGCGCTAATTATCACAATCCTGGACATTGTTATCACAGACAGGAGTCATCTATAATACTGTCATTGCTAAATAATAGCAGTAACATATTTGACATTTTTAGGCGATGCTGTGGTCACAAGCTGAACAGCAATGCTGTTAGCTCATGCTATGTGCACCAGCTTGGTGCTCCCATAGTACTGTGGCTTTCACATGGCTTACAATTTTTTTTAAACATGGCAGCTGTTTACAAGAGCCCTGCGGAAGCTGATGTGAACCCTGTGTAGCCGCGGGACATTTGAATTGTGCCCGGCACTCTATGGCATGTGTGTGTGTATGTATGTGTATGTATGTATGTATATGTATGTATGTACTCACCTATATGTGCTTGCAGGATCGAGCATTGACTCTTGGATCCCGCCTAGGGATCCAAGGGATGTGTATATGTATGTGTGTGTGTGTGTACACACACACACACACATTGCTGTAAACAACTGATAGCTAGAAAGGCGGGATCCAAGAGTCAATGCTCGATCCTGCAAGCACATATAGGTGAGTACATATAGGTGAGTACACACACACACACACACACACACACACACACACACACACACACACACACACACACACACACACACACACACACACACACACACACACACACACACAAGGAAAATGGGGACATTGAAACAGTTGATAAACTCGATTTAAGGAGAGGTCACTATGGGGAACTTTGAAATTTTTTTAATGAGTGTAAATGGACAGAATTGTTGCTAGGCAGGGAAGTAAATGAAATGTATGCCAAATTTTTAAAAATATACGAGGAAGGCACACAAACATTCATACCAAAACAGAGAGGCAGGGCCAGAAAACAGGATTGGTTCGACAGAAATTGTGAGAGGGCCAGAGACCAAAAGACACAAAAATTTTATCAGTATAGGAAGGGGCCAAACCCCCAAACATACCAGCGATACAAAGATGCGAGAAACAACTATATGGCAGTAAGGAGAGAGGCAGAAAGAAATTTTGAAAAAGGGATAGCGGATAAATGTAAAACAGAACCGGGCCTATTCTACAAATTCATAAACAAATTGCAGGTAAAGGATAATATCCAGAGGTTGAAAATGGGAAACAGATTCACGGAAAATGAAAAGGAAATGTGTGAAACATTAAATGAAAAGTTCCAAAGTGTGTTTGTACAAAATGAAATCTTCAGAGAACCAGACACAATAAGAATTCCAGAGAACAACATAGAGCGGATAGAGGTGTCTAGAGATGAAGTGGAAAATATGCTAAAGGAGCTCAGTAAGAACAAAGCAGCTGGCCCAGATGGAGTTTCACCATGGGTTCTGAGAGAATGTGCATCTGAGCTCAGCATTCCACTTCACCTGATTTTTCAAGCATCCCTGTGTACAGGAACCGTAGCAGACATGTGGAAACAGGCTAACATAGTTCCAATCTACAAAAGTGGCAGCAGGGAAGACCCCCTCAATTACAGTATAGACCTGTATTATTGACAAGCGTAATAGTGAAAGTATTGTAAAAACTAATCAAAAGTAAATGGGTAGAACACCTGGAGAGAAATGATATAATATCAGACAAATAGTATGGTTTTCGATCTGGAAGATCCTGTGTATCGAATTTACTCAGTTTCTATGATCGAGCCACAGAGAGATTACAGGAAAGAGATGGTTGGGTTGACTGCATCTATCTGGACCTAAGGCTTTCGACAGAGTTCCACATAAGAGGTTGTTCTGGAAACTGGAAAATATTGGAGGGGTAACAGGTAAGCATCTAACATGGATGAAAAATTTTCTGACTGATAGAAAAATAAGGGCAGTAATCAGAGGCAATGTATCGGAATGGAGAAATGTCACAAGTGGAGTACCACAGGGTTCAGTTCTTGCACCAGTGATGTTTATTGTCTACATAAATGATCTACCAGTTGGTATACAGAATTATATGAACATGTTTGCTGATGATGCTAAGATAATAGGAAGGATAAGAAACTTAGATGATTGTCATGCCCTTCAAGATGACCTGGACAAAATAAGTATATGGAGCACCACTTGGCAAATGGAATTTAATGTTAATAAATGCCATGTTATGGAATGTGGAATAGGAGAACATAGACCTCACACAACCTATATATTATGTGAGAAATCTAAAGAATTCTGATAAAGAAAGAGATCTAGGGGTGGTTCTAGATAGAAAACCATCACCTGAGGACCACAAAGAATATTGTGCGAGGAGCCTATGCCACGCTTTCTAACTTCAGAATTGCTTTTAAATACATGGATGGCGATATACTAAAGAAATTGTTCACGACTTTTGTTAGGCCAAAGCTAGAATATGCAGCGGTTGTGTGGTGCCCATATCTTAAGAAGCACATCAACAAACTGGAAAAGGTGCAAAGACATGCTACTAAGTGGCTCCCAGAACTGAAGGGCAAGAGCTACGAGGAGAGGTAAGAGGCATTAAATATGCCAAAGCTAGAAGACAAGAAAAAGAGGTGATATGATCACTAAATACAAAATAGTAACAGGAATTGATAAAATCGATAGGGAAGATTTCCCGAGACCAGGAACTTTAAGAACAAGAGGTCATAGATTTAAACTAGCTAAACACAGATGCCGAAGAAATATAAGAAAATTCACTTTCGCAGAGTGGTAGACGGTTGGAACAAGTTAGGTGAGAAGGTGGTGGAAGCCAAGACCGTCAGTAGTTTAAAAGCGTTATATGACAAAGAGTGCTGGGAAGACGGGACACTACGACCTTAGCTCTCATCCTGTAACTACACTTAGGTAATTACAAGAACACCGTTGGAGGAACAAACCCAGTGGTTGTGAGAGCTGCGAAAGGGGCTGCCCTGAAGATACCAGAACAGCCTCGGTAAACCACCATTGCAAAGTTCAGGCTCCAATTGAGCAACCACCCAGTGACTAGGGTCCCCTCTTAACACTTTCGCGCTCTCGGCGCTCAAAAAAAAACAATACCCCAGATGCTTTCGGCACTTCGCGCGCCTACGCGGTAAGACCGAAAAGTGTACACTCTTTTGACTGTCCTGACAATAATTGAAGGCGCACGTATTTAAATTTGGTATCACTGTGTTCGCAATGAAATTGTCTATAAGAGCATACCTATAAAATGCCGCCCAAGCATAAGGAGTATCAACACCAATAAAAAACTATGCAGATCACTCGCCGAGAGCGCCAAACAGCAACAAAATGTTTCCACTCTCTTAATGGTTGCGAAGCCTACAGTTGTCCTACATCGCTAATTTTGGTATCATTGGAATCGCAATAAAATTCTCTACACGGACATATGCATATGAATGTTTAATATAGGTAATTGCCCACCCGCAAGAGTGTGTGAAGTGGAGAGTAGTTAGCCGCGAGCACACTGGCGAAAACACAGGGGGGAAATCATGCTTGGAAAGTTTATACGTTTCCTGACCCTACTTTTCTATGTACGTATTTCTTTTTTATACCAATGTGTTCGCAATAAAATTTTCTATAAGATAAACTGTATAACATTTGTACAAAGCATGTGTAAGAGAAGCGCCAAATATAGAACCACGTCGCTCAGTATGCGTTCGCGGCAGAAACGAACGCATTGTTTTCGTTCGTTTGATGTTTGTCATGTTTATACTTGTTGAAACATTTTATAATTTGTATGACAGTGATCGCAGTAAAATTCCCTACACAGACATATACATAACACATACAAATATTTCCCACGTGTTGGATATATCAACGGCTAAAGGGAACCCACTGCCACCCCAAACATACTTTGTGTATTTTTTTTTTTACTCATAGAAGTTTATGTGATATAATATTCATTCTGGTACCAAAACATTCGCAAATAAATTCTCTACAAAACAAAAGTATCCCCATCCATTTCGGTTAAAAAATGGAATTTATAGAAATATTTTTTCGATGGACGAGAAAAGTAGGCTGTTATGCGGAATCGTAAGAGAAAACGGCGACGAGTTATCTCTAATCTAAAGCGCGAAAGTGTTAAAAAAAACAGTTGAAAACAGGACTGCAGCCGAAGCAAAGCAGCAGGAGGGTGAGAGACAGACACCATCCGAGAATCTCATACGAGGCCCAGCCAAGTTCAAACCCAGGACGAAACCAACTGGAACGGAACAAACTGGGACTTTCACCAATTCACCAGGAACCCAAACCCAGCAAGCTGGGAAAGAACCAGATCTCTGGCTTACACAAAGACCGGCTGGGAGCCCTCCCCAACCGTCAAGGTAGGCTAGAACCCGAAAACCTAACAGGCGCTGATGGGTCACCATGACCCTGGGTTAACCGCGTGAAGAAGCGAGGTGCCAGATTCAGACCAAATGAAAGACAACAAAAGCAGTAAGCCTGTTGCCATAACACAAACCCCAACCAATCTCTGAACCCCGGATAAAGAGGTATGTGCCAATAAGCATCCCTGAGGTCCAGAGAAATCATCCAAGAGCCCAGCTCGAGAAGAAGCCAGACTTGGGACAAAGTGGTAATCTGAAAGGAGGAGCAAAAAATTAAATGGTTCAGACAGGACAAGTCCAGAACGAACCGAAGATCAGCACAGTCCCGTTTCAAAACAAGAACCAAGCGGGAAATCCACCTTGTTTTTTCTTAAGTAGTTTCTACCACGCCCAAGCGAACCCAGTCCAAGACGACCCGACAGAGACACAATCGATAGGACGAACCGCCGCCCAACGGCACCAAAGGCTGATAGAAATGACCCGGAAAGCCCACAAATTGTAGGACCAGGCGAAGGCAAACAGAGCCAGCCTCACCCCAGCACCCAGTCACCAGGGGCGTCACAAAGGGATCAACCCGCGAAAGAGCCGGCGTGACCTCCGAGAAGCCGACTTCTGCACAGAGTGACCACCTCACCGACCAGTCTAAGAAGACCCTGGAGAACACACTGGCTCTGAAACTGCCATCAAAGGCCCACCTCAACCTAACAAAACCCGAGCCCTGGCAAGACCACCCCGAGAGGCCCGGGAACGGCCCCCCTCCCCTACCCAGAGCACCAACAAGTCGGAAATGGGGCAGCAACTGGTAAAAGCCACTGACAAAAATTAAGCAACAAGCCATGTCTCAAGCTGAATTCAAAGAGAGCAAGGACGGCCTGCCAACACATGAAACGAGAGGTAAAAAAAGTGGATTCGGCAGCCAAAGCCTTGGCAGCCGAAACCAAAACCCCAGCCGAAGGCCCCTCACTCAACGCCCCCCTCCTCCCCCCCACATCCTCTGAAAGCCAGTCCAAGGACAGCTCCAGACGACCGAAGAAGTGCAAGAATGAGGCCAAATGACCTTGAGTCCTATGGTCATTAGCAGCCAAACCAACCAAAAGAGAGTGGGAATCTGGGCAAGCAACTGCACCAGACCCACATCACGCAAAAGCGCCAGAGCGAAGATGCACCCATTGAGGAGCTCCATTGAGCTTCCCAAGAACCTGCAACACTGAAGTAACCTCCCATCAATCAAGTGTGCAGGAACAACAAAACCCATGCCAAGCTCCAAGAGACGAAAGGACAGTCTGTCAGCCAGGAAGACTCATAACGCACCCAACCGGGGAAGAGGAACTGTACTCAAATAAAGCCAGATCCATTACAGAAGCATAACCCAGGTCTCGCAGGAGGTAAGCACACTAAGGGCCTCCTGAACCTCTGCAGGGAAAATCCGAGAGGAAGGAAACCTCCAGAAGGATGAATCCAAGGAACCCAAAGGCACATGGAAACGAATAGTCCCCATTGAAAAGCAGAAATGCAGCAATAGGTACGCTGAGAAAACGACATCAGGGCCCAGCAACACATCACTCCCTACCTGGGGCGAATGAAGCATGACAGCTTCAGTCTCATGAATGCCGCCGAGAGGAAAGAGGACAGGACAACCAACCAGTATGGTTAGTTAGGCAGTATGGACTCCATACTTAAGCATTATACTGAAGTGGCATAACTGGTTGACTTGTCAGTGTTCAAGAGAGTACTGTACTTAAAAAACACCTCCAAAGAATACCTTATCAACCAGGCTGTGATTCAGGCTGCGAGCAGCTGCGTCCAACAGCATAGCTGACCAGACCACAACCAGAATACAAGGTCTAGATCACCTGGGTTTAGACCCAGCCACAGGAACGTTTATCCCCAGAACCAAAAACAGGTACACAACAGGTAGCTGAACACGAATAAAGTACTTTATAAATAATATTCACACTCCAATAAATTCAACATTTATATAATATTTACATGTAAATATGAATAAACATGTTTATCACATTCACAAAAGGAAACTTTATCGGATCTGGAATGATATCCTGTATGTACAAAGTCCAGATTTTTTTTTAATTGTGCCTGTATAATAACAAGTCAATTCTACATACCTCCTCCATTTCTGCCTTTTGCTCTACCTTTGCTTCTGTACCAACTTCTGGCTCCGTCCTGAAATAAAAACAAGATATTCTTTTATTAGATTTATTAGATTAGATATTCTTTTATTTAGATTTGTCTCCCTCGAGAAGAAGGAGACGGCTGCAGTAAAACATACCGATGACCACGACCAAAAGAGCAAAGACCTCTGCACCGGAGAAGAGCATGAAGCTCCACCACCTGACCCCCAAAGGCTAATGCCAACAGAAAAAGAGCCTTAGCCAAACAATCCTGAACCGAAGGGGCCACAACAAACCGAGAAGATAGATAGGAGAGCACTCTGTTTAAAGACCAGGATGGCTCAGATGGCGCATGAGCAGGCCGGAGGTGAAACAACGCATGAGACAGCTTGCAAAATGGTGAAGAAGTAACATCGATACCGAAAGCAAGCTGCAGCAGCTCCACCAGCGCTGCACGATACGAGGCAACAGTATTAGGCATAAGATGACGGTCCTGGAACAACGAAGAGAGAAAGGACACCACCACCCTAACTGAAAGCGAAGAGCAATGACGAAGAATCAAAAAGAAAAGGAAGGACCGCCAGGAAACTTTATACTGCTGCCAAAAAGAAGCCCACAGGTGGAAAACCATCAAGGAGGCCACCTGGGCACCAGAGAGATGGTGATAAACCAGAGTGAAAAACACCAAACGCGAGGAGAAAAGCGAACCAGTCTCGTACCGGACCAGGCCGATCTCCAGAAAGAGGCGGAGCCACGGAAAAACCTCCGGGTTCGGACACCGGGCAAGCAGCGCCTGAAACCACGGCTGGGCCAGCCATCATGGGGCCAAGAGGACTACTCGCCTCTGATAAGTCTCCAAGTGAGCCAGGACCTGGAGCAACAGCTGAACCAGGGGAAAGAGGTACAGAAACCCCCACCTCGACCAGTCCTGCCGTAAGGCATCCACCCCGACAGCCTCACAGTCGGGGAAGGGCACCACATATACCGGAAGATGCCTCAACCACGCCGACGCGAAGAGGTCCACCTCCGGGCACCCGAACGTCTGGTAGAGCCAACTGAATGAGTCGGCGTCGACAGTCCATTCCATGGACAGGGGAACAAACCGGGACAGGCCGTCCGCCAGGACATTGGACACCCACCCCCCCGGACGTGAATCGCCAGGAGAGCCAACCCCCAAGAACTCAGCACACGAATCACCCGAAGAGACCAACCCCAAAGAGCCAAGGACCACATCCAACCCCCTCGGTTCAGGCAATGAACCACAAGGGAGCAGTCCGAATGGAGCCAGATCATCAATCCGCTGGCGACACGAACCCTCCGAAGCGCAAACCACACCGCCGCGAACTCCCGCGGATTGCTGTGAGCCCGACAGAAGGTCGGACCCCACCGCCCCTTGTCGACCTGGTGAGTACTGGTCACAAAGCCACAGCCGAGAGACTATGCATCCGTGAACACATCGAGCGAGGACTCAGGTAGGCGTCAAGGCCCAGAACCCCGAAAAACCCGAAGAGGAAGCCGGCGACACAGCAGCAGACACAAGGCCGGGGGGGGGGGGGGGGGGGGGGGAGGAAGCGAGAAAGGCGGAAGGGACGTCCCCGAAGGAACAAGAACAGCCGACAAAGCCAAACCCAACCCGCCAGGCAGACCAACATCACAAAGTTCAGGCTTCCGCATAGACCCCTCGAGCAACCGTCGGGTGACCCGGGAGCCAACAGAAACAAGCTCAGGCGGGACCTCAGCCGAAGGAGAGACGTCAGAGGAAGAGGCAAGGAAGCAGTCCGAGAGTCCCACACAAGACCCAGCCAGTACCGAACCTGGGAGGGAACCAGATGGGACTTCCTCCAGTTCACCTGAGACCCAAAACGGGCAAGCTGGGAAAGCACCAAATCCCTAGCGAGCAGACACGCGGACCGACTAGGGGCCCGAACCAGCTAGTCGTTGAGAAAAGCCAACACCCGAACACCTAACAGATGCAGACGGGCCACCACGACCTGGGTAAGGCGTGTGAACACGTGAGGTGCCAGAATCAACCCAAATGGGAGACAACGAAAGCGGTAACACTGGCGCCCCACTGCAAAATCGAGCCAGTCCCAGAAACCCAGATGAATAGGGACGTGCCAATACATGTCCTTGAGGTCCAGGGACACCATCCAAGTGCCCGGCTCCAGCAGAAGCCAGACCTGGGACAGAGTGGTCATCGGAAACGAGGGCCAAGAAACCCAAGCGTTCAGATTCAAGTTCAAGTTCAAGTATGTTTATTGAGACAAGAAAAAATACATCTCAAAGGGATAGAGTAGCTTAGGCTATTTCTACCCCACTAGCGTTCAGATGGGGCAAGTCCAGAATGAACTGCAGGTCTGCACAGCCCCGTTTCGGAACTGGAAACAGGCGGGAGACCCACCTGAGAAGAGATGTCATTTCAACCACGCCTGAGCGCACCCACTCCATGATGACCCGACAGAGCGCAGGAGAGGAAGCCTGCCCCGTCAGCCCTGATCCCCCAAGGAGGGGCCATCCAATGCCACCACAGGCTGAGATAAACGACCCAAAAAGCCCACAAATCATGTGACCAGGCATGAGCGAACAGGGCAAGCTTCCTCCCCCCCACTGCCCCGTCAATGGGACGAACCTCGAAAGGACCGCTGCCCCTTACGAGAATCCGACCTGCACGCAGAGCGAACATCGCGCCGACCAGGCGCAGGCAGCACCGGCACCGAACCCGACACCTGTGACCATCCCCGACGAACGGAATCGCGAGCCTTGGCACGACCCCGCCGGGAAGGAACCACCCGGTTCCCCCAGAGAACCAACAAATCAGACATAGGGCGGCAAGTGGAAGAAGCCGCCTGAATATAACGCTCAACCGCTGAAGCCTCAAAAAGCAAAGGACAAAAAGGAGATGACAACCGAAGAACCAGGGCCTAAGCGGATTCCAAGGAGGAAGTCAGAACTGCCTGTCGACACGCGAAACGCGCAGCGAAAAACCGCAGCAACACCTCCGCAGGAACGGCGCAAACAGCTTAAAAAGAGCAGACGACACACGAGCAGCTGAGACTAAGGCGCCAGACCCATGAACAGCCCCAAGTACCTCTACATCCTCCGCAAGTCAATCTGAAGACAGCTCCAGGAGGGAAAAAGAAATGCAGGACCGAAGCCAACAAGCCACGAGCGCGTAAGTCCTCAGCCACAAGTGCAGCCGACAGTGTAGGAACCTGCACATGAAGCTGAACCGCACCAACAAAAAGTGAGACCAAAAAGAAGACCACTGTAACAGAAACAGAAGACAAGGAACAGAGACAGAAACAGACAAAACGAACATCTAGATACTGTACCTCACACTGTCACTGAGAAGAATGTCATAAATATGTTATAAAAAGATTTGCCACGTGCGAACCATACTAAAGGCGGTACATCACACATTGAAAGTGCAACCACTATGACTTACGGAAAGCCTCAAACCATCTTATATTATTATAAAAAACAGTAAATTTATTTTCAAAAAACACATGTTTTCTCACTTAAGCTATATTTCTTTACATACATAATTCTAAAAATGCTAATGCTTTGTTTTATTAATTCTATTTGCAGTTGTGAATACATGCTAGCGCAAGCATATGAATGCTCAAAATTCTTTTAGCACTAATGTGGGGACCGGCATGTTGATTCTCACTTTTTTTATTTAATATTATATATTTGGCATTTATTTTTAATATACAGTACTGTAAAATTATATATGTACATGTATAACTATCATATAATATACATAATACAAGTTTACAAAAACCCAACCATGGTCTAGCTACTGTATATGAATACAGTATATTCCATCAAGTCTGCAGACATTACGATGTGTTGTGTTTACTCTAGCATACCTGGAGTATACCTGGAGAGGGTTTCGGGTGTTTGACCTCCCAAGCCCGGCCTCAGGCCAGACTCACAAGCATGTCTAGTTTTATGAAGCCCAAATTATATATATCACAGCTCTGCACTTTAAATCAATAAAATTTACTCACCTACTTGTACTTGCCTAGTAATGTTTGTGGGAGTTGAGTTTTGGCTCTTTGATCCCGCTTCTAAACCTTCAATCAACTGGCGTACAGGTTTCCGAGCCTAGTATATGATGTTAACAGCTCATACAATATTATGGTTTTAATATTTACCAATAAATTATATACGAAACTGAGTGCAAACAACTGAAACATATGAACTGAGTGCAAAACAGTAGCTATAACTTGATGTCCTGAGCATGTCTAGTATGTGGTACACTGGACCTAGTATTGTCAGTCGGCGGCTATGCCATGAATACCTTTAAATTATATATGTCAGAGATTATAAAGCTCAACTTCTAAACTTGAAATTTCCCTAATTTCGAAAACAGTGTATTGGTGGGAAGAGTTGACGATATGGTTGGCAGCGTCAGGCCAGGACAGCAAGCACCTTACTGGATTTACAGCTAAATAGACCACAGTACACACCCAGGGAGGCTTCAGTGCAACAGGCGAAACACATTACTATTACTTACATTGTGGAATATGAGAAGAGAGAGAGAAATAGAGGACGCTGGCAGTGTGGCGTTCCGGCGTCGCTGCCCACAACAAACTCTCCGCCTCCCAACCTTCCTCTCCCCTCACACACCAACTCTCACTACTCACCAATGTCTTAATAGCATTGTTCAATAAATAAATACAATAAATTATAAAACTCTGTCCCAATTCACAAAAGACAAATTATTTGCGTTATTTTATTTGAATAAAGCGAATGTCGACAAAAGGAATCCGAAGTCACGACCAATTCCGGGACAGCCCATTCATGGTCGGCCATCACAGACGATCCACATTAACAAGTATTTTGGCAACATTCTCATAAAAAAACTCACAAAATAATTAATACTTATCAAAGAAGTGATTATAATATGGATGTGCTTAATAGCGTGTTGGGTGCAGAGAGCGGCGGCTGTGTAAGTTATACAGTCACTCTCCACCAGCGGTCATATTTTCGTACAAGGCCACGCTTAAAATTGACCCTGTATAATTATAATAATAATTCAAATTCAAAAGTCAAATGTTTATTCAGGTAAAAGTACATACATAGAAGATGAGTTACAAACATAATGTTGGATTTATAGATAGAGCCAGTACATATAGTACATACAAATCTGTTAAAGTGCCTGATTTTCTTAAAGCTAATTTTAATATCCTACGAACTTTTTTTTGGTCAAATAGATTGGAAAGTCTTAGGCATAGGGGTGGGCCGGTCTTGGAGCAAGACGTGAACCCAACGAAGGGCGATGTAAAAGGGGATTTGGTTCTCCCTCCAAGCCTTCTTCCTTGGAGATCAGCATCCCTCCAAATGGATTGCCATAACTGCCAATGTGCTCAGAATGTATAACTTTAATCACCCCTATCAAGAGAGACAACAACAACACTTTCCTGCCCCATGGGAGATCACTCCTTTCCAAATTACTGTCCCCTCTTTCCCACCCAAGAAGCTGATTAAAGAACACTGCCCTGGTGACTCTCTATTACTCCCTCATCTATTCATATCTCAACTATGGTATTTGTGGTTGGGGTTCTACTACCCAAAATCATTTACGTCCTCTAATTACTCAACACAAAGCTGCTATTAGGACAATATCCAACTCTGGCCCCAGACATCACTCGGTACCCCTACTCAAATCTCTGAATATTCATTGAAGGTTGTAACAGAACCCATGAGCACCACACCAGAAATAAATACAGTTTTGATATTCCAAGAGTACGACTTAATCAAACTAGAAATTCTCTACAAATCAAGGGACCCAGAATGTGGAATGACCTTCCCAACCATGTTAAAGACTGTACTTCTCTCAACCAGTTTAAGATAAAAACGAAGCACTACCTAATAAATTCCCTGTAACCTTCCTTACCCCTCTATTGTCAACCCATGTCTGTTTTTTTTTAAACAACGCTGTTTGTCGACCTAATTGTATTTGTGCTGCTTTTTCAGCCATGTTCCCCCCTTTTTTATCTCTATTTTTATTTGTTCTCAACACATTTTATTCTTTATACTCAATTAGTATTAAGCTTTAGTCATTAATGTTTTTCATGACCGAAACGCTTTGCGTAATAGTGGCTTTAGGCATTGTATATACTAGCTCTATCTATAAATCCATCAATCTTTGTAAAATCTCTTGTATACCTTACCTAAATAAACATTTATTTATTTTATTTATTATTTATTTAACAAGCCTTGCTTGTTCTTTATTCGGTTGCAGATGGTACCAGTTTTTGCAGGAACATGAAGATGTTCAACTGCTGGGCGAGCCCTCTCCTACTCATTTGAGGGGAGGGAGAGTATATTATGCTTGTTTGATAAATGCTGAGGGCATAGAGGGGAACTGTCTTACTGTGGATGAAAAGCTAAGTGATCATTTTGCATTACAAATACAGCTTAAACTAGATAAAAAGCATGCCTCCCTTCAGAAGAAAAGGTTAAAGTTTAATGAGGGAGAATTAAGGGGTCTTGTTGGCCATATTAAGTCTTGGTATGATACTTATAAGCCAGTTTCGGCAGAAGCATTTTATGAAGATTTAATTAAGGAGGTAGATGTATTTAATGCAACATTGAACCGGAAAACATCTAGTATAAAAAAGCATCCCCCCAGAATAGAAAATTATGCACATGACAAGATGCTTAAGGGGTGGACAATAACAATGAGGAGAGCTCACAGGAATTGGAATAAGAATGGTAGGACTGAGGAAGGGAAGAATGCTTTACTGGCAGTTGCTAGGCTGTGTGGGGAGAAGAGAAAGGAAATTAGGAGCAAGTATTGGCAAGAGTTTGCAGAGAAAGTTGGGAGTAACAGAAACTTGAAGGAAATCTGGCAAGACGTAAATAAAATAAGGGGTAAGAAGCATAATTTTGTTGCACATCCTGATCCGCAATGAATTGCAAATGGTCTCGTAAATAAATAGGCGGAAGCTGCCAAACTTAGTTCATTACCCGCTGTAACGAGAGAGTCATTAGATTCTTGGAAAGATCTAAGAAAGGATTTTATACTTACAGCAGGTAACAGTGGTGATGTCACTTGCACAGGTATTACCAGAGAAGAACTAATAACGGCGATTAAAGTTGGGAAATCTACCGCCCCTGGGGAGGATGGAGTAACTTATGAAATACTTAATGAACTTGCCATTATGACGAAAAGCCCACTGTTAGACCTCTTTAATATTAGTTATAAAGAGGGCAGTATTCCCAGTAAATGGAAAACAGCTATGATCATCCCTATCCCTAAAGCAAATGGAGAGTACAGACCTGTGTCTCTAACCTCGTGTTTATGTAAAATGATGGAGAGGATCATTTTAAATAGACTTTTATATATAATAGGTGATCAGCTGTCTAGTAATTTGTTCGGGTTCCTCAGAGGAAAAAGTATCTCTTATTGTATTATTAAATGTCTAGCTAATGAAAATGATTATTATAGAATTTTTATTGATTTACAAGGAGCTTTTGATAAAGCCACCAAAGAGGTTATTTTATATGAATTAGCTGGTCTTGGTGTTAAAGGGAGATTATTGCGCTGGATAGGGGATTATCTTTACGAAAGGAAGGCTCAGGTGTGGTATCAAGGTTGTATGTCAGGTGTGAGATGTTTTGAACTCGGCATACCTCAGGGAGGAGTGTTGAGTCCCACTCTGTTTAATGTACTAATGAATAAGATAGCGTCTGAGAGATACTCAAATGGGGTAACTCTGATCATATATGCCGATGATATTTTGTTTCAGGGCAAAGATATTTCAAAGGTTCAAACAGTGTTGGACAATTTTGGAAACCTGTGTCACCATATGGGACTGGTGGTTAATGAAAACAAAACTAAGTTTGAATGTAGAAATCGGAGGCCCATTATATTGAAAATAAACGGTAAAAATATAGAGAGAGTTAATATATATAAATATTTAGGCATATATGTTGGTTATACCCATGAGAGTTTGGAAGCTGAGATGAACAGACTGTTGGGTCAATGTCGGAAGAGATTACAACCTCTGAAGGCCTTGGCATGCTGTGGAAAGGGAGTGGGAGTCCCTGTGCTACGAATGATATACTTGAGTACTGTAAGATCTCTTATTGATTATGCTGCACCTGTCATTTCTTGTTTTGGTAAAGGTAGGATAGGCAAGTTGGAGAAGGTACAAAATGAAGCCATGAGAATTATCTTAGGATGCCCAAGAAATGCTATGATTGAGATAATGAGGATGGAGTTGAATCTGCAGAGTATTGGGGATAGAATTGCAGAGATAAATGTAGCCTCTGCCATTAGATTAACGAGAGGTGGGGGAGCTAATGAATTAATCCTCTCAGTTCAAAAGGTGGGAAGAAATGAACAATGTATGATAAAGAAAAGAGCACGTTTCGAAGCGATACGAGCCGGAGCTGGAACGTAACTGAGGGAGAGACTCGAATTCGAATTCGAAAAATACAGAAGATGCCCATTGGGGCGAGCCTTGAAGTGGGGACAGCTGAAGAGAAGTCGGTGAGAGGAAATGCTGAAGTTGAAGAGAAAGTGCCAGGGCTTGACCCAGCTGCGTGTCAAAGAGTCGATGCTGTAGCAACCCCACATCTGGCTAGGCTGGGAGACGGGTCTGAAAGGCGGCAGTGGCAGGTTTTCTTTCCTCTTGGTGTGTGGAGTCTGTCTTCGACGTCGGGTACCACCATCTCAAAGCAGTCATAGCAGTCTCCGTGGTGTAGTGGTAAGACACTCGCCTGGCGTTCCGCGAGCGCTATGTCATGGGTTCGTATCCTGGCCGGGGAGGATTTACTGGGCGCAATTCCTTAACTGTAGCCTCTGTTTAACGCAACAGTAAAATGTGTACTTGGATGAAAAAACGATTCTTCGCGGCAGGGGATCGTATTCCAGGGACCATAGGATTAAGGACTTGCCCGAAACGCTACGCGTACTAGTGGCTGTACAAGAATGTAACAACTCTTGTATATATCTCAAAAAAAAAAAAAAAAAAAAAAAAACGAGCAAAATTAGGTCCCCATCCCCCTAAAGAGGGGGAGGAGGGCAGCTGCCCTCACTAGGTTTCTTTCTTCTTTCTTCTATTTTTTCTTGCTTCTAGTAGTCATTTGTTGATTTTCTTTGTACTGGGCGTAGTCTGGTGGGAAAAGGTCCTTTGCCAATGTGGCTTCGTCGCATTCGAATAAGATTACATCGTTCTTTAGAACGAACTTTTGGCCTGGATTGTTCAGCAGGCATTCTGCATACCTCGTGTTGAGTATTTTGCTGGTGATGCGCCTGTATGCGGGAGATCCAGGTGTCATAGAGCGAAGAGACTCGTGGAGACTCCGCTGGTATTGAGGGTGGTGAATGTGCTTCAGTGTCCTCTGGTGCTGGGGGTGGTGATTGAGCTTCGATTTCAACATAGGCATTCGAATCGTCATCAGAAGACGTGGTGTAGCTTGCAGGAGAAGTTGGTGGCAGTATCGTTGCATCTGATGTAGTCGCTGGTATAACTGGAGCAATAGGATCTGGGTTGACAGGCGTCTCTGGTGTGGGGTCGGACTCTGGTGGAGAGGAGCCATCGGTAAACATGGCCTCTGGTATCACGAGATACCAGAGGCACGAGGTAGTGGAAAGGGTTACGCACGAGGAGAGACTCGATTGATAAAG